CATTCCCTAAAATTTTCTAAGTCCTTCTCTGGTGGTGGTGGTTGTGGCTAGCAATGCTATCTGGTCAGGGCACCCACATGGGGCTGGCGCCCATCTCTCTTTGGAGCACTCTGTGACCCTCTCTACATGGAGTACCTACCACACCCCCCAGGAACTCTGGGGCTCATATCCACCCAGTTGTCCTGGAACGTGGTGGCCAGGCTTGTTTCCAAGAGGGTGGCTGGTGGGCAGATTGCCTCCACTGGGCAGCATGGCGTTTCACGTACGGAATCCCATCAGACTGACCACCAGAATGCTGCGGACAGGCTCATTTCAAGGGACTCGAATTGGTTATATGGACAGAAGCCCCCCTCTGAAAATATTTGCCCAGAGCCACGATCCCTCAGGAAAGCCCTGGTGGGAAAGGAGGGTGAACCGCGATCGTGAGAAGAGAAAGCAGTCCGAAACATCTTTTTTCAAAACGTTTTTTGAAGAAAAAAAAAAAGAAACAACCTTGCATGTGTACATATGTGTGTGTATATAATATACATGATTGCTTTTTTTGGGCTTGATCTGTTAAAATCCTATTTATAGGCCATAAATTTGGTTTCCAGGGATATAATATCTTTTAAATCTTCGTTTTTAAACATGTTTCACCAAACGCCCACGTCCCTGGAACAGGTAGTACTTTGGGAGAAAAGGGAGATTATTTGAGAAACTCTGATTTAAACAAAAAGGGATTTTGTTGCACAACTTCCCAGAGCCCTGGACATGCTGACACAAACTATGTAAAACAAAAGGGGGTGCAGCCCCTCCCAGCCTCCGATGACCAGGGACCCCCTTTCACAGCATCTTATGGGATGGGATGGAAAATGCTGTCTTGAAAGAATAATGTGGGGCACCCGGGTGGCTCAGTCTGTTAAGCCTCCGACTTCGGCTCAGGTCAGAATCTCACAGTTCGTGGGTTCAAGCCCCGTGTCGGGCTCTGTGCTGACAGCTCAGAGCCTGGAGCCTGCTTCAGATTCTGTGTCTCCTTCTCTCTCTGCCCCTCATCCACTCACACTCTGTTTCTGTCTCTCAAAAATGAATAAACTTAAAAAAAATTTTAAAGAATGATTCAGGAACACACACACACACACACACACACACACACACACACACACCCCATAAGAGATTTCTTTCAATTTAGGTTCTTGGGAGGGAAAAATAAAGAGGGCTGGCAGTTCCATTTTTGTAATCACAAAACCAGAGAAGCAAGGTCAGCCCTGTGGTCTTGACATGAGGACCTCTCCCTGTAAGCAGGTAGGGATACTTCCCAGAGAAGATTCTATGATATAGTTAAGGTCTGGGGCCATTAGAGGGCTCTCTAGGCCTAATGGATTGGTTTCCAATCCCCGGATGCACTCAGGAGGGACTGTCGCCACCGTGAAGCTTGGTGTAAGAGACGCACAAATCCATCAGAGGTGAGGAATATTTCAATCATCACACCTGGAGCTTCTGGGTAGGATTAATACAAACACTCTTCTTCCCCACTAAGTACATGATAAAAATAGCAAACTGGGGACATAAACCTATCTGTTCAATGTAGACTGACTTATTAAACTTTTAAAAAATATCACAATAAAACTGAAATGGACCACTCCATATGATCATAAATATCATGTATCTGGGAGAGAAGAGCTTTTCAGATACATCTCAGCTTTCTAGCTTCCATGCAGCTGGCACTGCATTTTCTCCGGGCATTTCTGTTGATTCTTTTTCATCATCTATCTGTGCCTATCTAAAAACATCACAGCCCTGATGAGACCGTCCATTCCCTTAGAATATGTAACTTGACATATACTCTGATCAACACATCTAATATTACAAGCACACATGTACATGCACATGTATGTACATGTAAGTCCAATTGCCCGAAATATGGAGTATTTCAAGTCATACTATTTTTTAATTTAATGTTTATTTATTTTTGAGAGAGGGAGAGAGCGTGTGCGAGCAGGGCGGGGCAGAGAGGAGGGGGAGGGACAGAGAGAGATGGGGAGGGGCAGAAAGAGGGAGGGGACAGAGGATCAGAAACAGGCTCCATGCTGACAGCAATGAGCCCAATGCGGGGCTCGACCTCACAAACCGCTACATCGTGACCTGAGCCGAAGCTGGATGCTTAACTGACTGAGCTACCCAGGCGCCTCTCAAGTCACACAATTTTTAAGTGCAGCAGTTATACATGGTCATACATGATATACACTTGACTCAGCTGGGTATTTCCCTGGGAGAAATCTGTTCATTCACTGTGGTACTTTGTTCGTGGCCATATATTTGTGCCACGAGGAAATCCTGGCCTAAAACAGTGGTTCTCACGGTGTGATCCCATGACCAGCAGTTGTCAGCATCACTTGGGAGCTTGTTAGGAATACAGATTCTTGGCCCCCACCCCAGAGCGGCTGAATCAGAAACTCTGGCCGGATGTGACCCAAAAGGAGTGAGAGAACGCACACTGGCCCTGTGGGTATCAAAAGAGGAACGAGCGACCAAGGGGACTGTCAAGATGGTTCAGGGACAGGCGGCGTCTGCATAATTTTATTGTATCTTTTTAAAATGCTTATTTATTTCTTGAGAGAGAGAGAGAGAGAGAGAGAGAGAGAGAGAGAGAGACTCCCAAGCAGGCTCTGTGCTGACAGCGCAGAGCCTGATGTGAGGCTCGAATTCACAAATCGCGAGATCGTGACCTGAGCTGGAACCAAGAGTCAGATGCTTAATGGACTGAGCCACCCAGGCGCCCCAAAATAAAGCTAGATTCTATCACTCAATAAGCAAGGAAACAGACTGAAACATAAACCCTGCTTCACTCCCTTCTCTTGACATCGTGACATAAGACTCACAGCCATTTAGTCAACGGAAATGCTCTGGTCACATGCTGTGGTCCACCACAAGAGCCACGTTACCACAGAGTCAGAAAAAAACGACAGAAACCTCCTTCTGCCTCCTCTTGATTAAAAGAAAACAATATAAATGAAACTGAATCCCCCCAAATGCACCCCCATGATGTCTCTGGCGGTCAGTTCTTTCAGAATCCCCAAGCACACTGATGGAGGGGACACGTAGCCAGTATGGGGGAAGGGGTGCTTTCCTCCTCTTGCCACAGCCTTGGAGTGCTACACAAAGACAGCCAGGCTGGGCCCGGGCCAGGCCCCTGGTTGGTTGGTTCTGCTTAGAAAACTGCTTCCTCTTCCTCTGTCCCCGATTCCTGACTTCCCATGACTCCTATGCAACAGCATCATGAGAGTTAATGCTGTTAGAAGCACTCCGGGCCCCCGTCTAGCATTTGCAATTGTAAAAAGTGCTGTGATGCTTTTCTTTTCTACCAATGAAGAAACCTTATGTGAGCCAGCAAACTGCAAATAAAAAAACATTTTAAAGGAAAGAACACTTTTGAACCCCATCTTTGCTTCAGAACTAGTCTATGTGTCATGTTGCCTCTACTTTCGCTGCCTCAGGTGCTAAATGGAAGGGTCTTCAGCTAAGTACATGTGGCTTCTGGGTGACCACATTCTCTGTGGAGGGGACCAAGGGCAGGTTTTTGGAGGGTAGAGGGGAAAGCAACCTGAATAAGGGTATCATCGGCCGAAACACCCCCTATTTGAAAACTGATGAAGCACCAGAAAGAAGGGAGCTGAGCTGTTAGCAAATACAAATGGACAGCATAACGTGGAAATGAAAACTGCTCACGTTTGGTGCCAGGCCAACAGCTGGCTCTGAGAGAGCTAGCCCTGAGGGCATCTGGGTATCCACAGACATCACTTGTCCCTGCACTCAGCCACGTGCAATTCTCCCTCCTCGAAAAGAGCTGCTAAATCACATTTCAAGGCCTCGCTAGTGTACCAAATCCCACATCTCATACAAACAACAGAAGAAGGACACTATTAGCTGAAAGTATTGTGCCTTATTGATGAATGCCCTTAAAAGCAACGACAAATTACGACGGGCTTCCGAGTGGCTATTTTCTGAGTTCTCTGTTATTAGTGCATTATTTCTGTTATTGTCAACAGGACGTGATTATAATTGGGATGTTGTACACAGTGTTGTTATTGATGTACTCAGTAATTATAGGGCTGCATTCTCACATCTTGTAAAATGTAGGTATTATTTCTGACCCTGAGGATGCTGGGAGCAACTAATACTGGCACGATTTTTCTGGGGACTTTCACTCTTAAAACAAAGAAATGGCTTTGATGGCATCAGGAACAGCTCTGGAAGTCAGGAATCTTCATTCTTGAGACAATGGGATGACCAAGTCGCCAGCAGAGTTAGACTTGCAGTCCACGAAGGTAGCTGTACCTGGGGCAGGTGCGCCCCGGGGTCTTTGAGACCAGGGCAATTGCGGATGCTTCTGTTTGCCAAAGTAGGAAGGTCAAAAGGCTTAAAAATAGTCATCTCTTTTCATTGTATTTTCCTATTCTCTACTAGGAAGCAATACAAAAGAACTAACACAGGGCATAAAGACATGAATTCACACATACTGATGTTCCCCGAAGTGCTGGTAAAGAAACAGAAAAATTGAAAGCTACCTGGTCCATTCCTCACATGGAATACTCTGGTTAAACATCTTCTTTTGAAAAAAGAAAACAGTAACATGACATGAAAAAAAGACGCTCAGTCAGATGAAGTAGAAAAGTCAGGAATATGTAACAATGCCATCTGAATTTTATGGTACAAATTCGGTATTTACCTAGAAAAATAGACTGAAGGAAAATAAACCAAAGTGCATTCATTTGTGGCTATGTCAGAGTGGTATGATTTAGGGGATTATGAAAATTCGTCATTTCACACTTTTCGGTGTTTCCAAACATTGTATGTACGTCTCCCATTTGAGAATGCTTTAGACATACCAAGTAATTAACAAACCTGATGACAGCTGAAATGATACTGCGGGCTCTAACATCTGCCACTTTTAAAGCTGGTCCCTGAGGGTCCCTCTGCCATGGAACTTCTGTGGACCTCGCAGCTCCATACGAGGCACTTACCTGCGAAGGTGTCGTCACACTGATTTCCGGAACAAAGTTGTCCTCAAAGAAATTGATGATGTTCTCCTGCTGAAGTTCCTTTGTTGGAGTGACTTTGGGCAGAGGTGGGACAGGAGGCCCTTTCCTGGTCTACAAAACATCAGAAACACAAGCAAACTAATTCAGCCAAAGACGGCACGCGAGATGTGCAGAAATGCCACAGAACAGTGCTGGGCGGACGTATTGGTCACTGACTGAAATTTAGATACGTGTACAGAAACAAGAACACCTGATTGAGCAGAGAATGCTATCTCCCTTGGTGGCTCTCTGAGCACCGACAAGCAAGGGCCCCGTGAGAAATACTCCGGCAATGCCACTCCATTCATCTCAACACAAGCGCTACACGCAGGGCCAGGTGCCTATGCCTCTAAAGTTAAAACTAAGGCAACACCTTTTGTGGAGTCAACTGAAAAGGATTTCTCATTTCAGCAATAAACTGGAACTTGAACACTAACATCAGGAAAGTTTGTCACTGGAATCACTGAGACCGCCCATAGGTAGCACACATTGCACTCCCCACGTGAGTGTTTTCAGGAGTAAGAACTTGACAGAACAATTCCCTGGATCTTCTCGCGACTTGCCTTACTTTCAAAGCCTGCACCGCACTGGAGACTTTGAATCTTCCTGTAGGAACTTCATCTTCACCCAAAGTGGGGAAAACGAAGGCGGCCATGTTTCTCTGTATTTACCTTTTCTAATCTTTCCGGTTTCCCCCAATCATTTCTTCTAGACACTTTTGTTGAGCTCGTGCGCCACACACTGTGGGTAGTACCCAAACTGTGAAATGGCGTATAAACATCACGGCTTTCTTGGCCATACTTGACCCAAGGGTAACCGAAAGTGCTGGAGGAAGGGAGGTCCTAGCAGAAGGCAGGACCGATCAGAGCCTTCTGAAAGCAAGAGGTGGGAGGAGAGGAGGGCATGGAAGGAAGCTGAGGTTGTGGAGAGAGGTCTCAACACACTCAAACGTAGGGTGTGTGAGGATGTAGGGCTCCAAACTGGAAAAACAGCTTGATTCCTTAGTGGTCATCACAATGCCGACAGCCTTGAAGTCTCCCCAACTGGAAACTCCTTTTGATGCCCCAGGACCCCAGGACTATCCCAGACAGGGGTCCTCATGCCGAGTTCTTCCATTTGCCCCAATATACTTGACCTCTTCCTACCTGTGAAGGTGACCTAGGCCTTGCCGGTGCAGGAGACGCAGGTGCCAGCGTGTGATTAGGACTAGCTGTTGGGCTCGGGATGGGCGAAGGCTCCTCTGGCGGCGATGGGGTCTTTGCGATGCGGAGAGGACCAGAATCGCTGGATGAACAAACACATGAGAGTCAGCAACGGTCCGTCTAAAGAACAGCACTTACGTTTCAGGGGTCCTTCAGCCCAAAGGAATCCTGAGGCACAATAGGTTTTGGCTCTCGTCTAGCCCCCTTCTAGGTTAATTCTGGCTGTTATGTACAGTATTTATTATCCACTGGATGCCAGACCCCATTCGTAATACATCATCTCTAACCTCACAATACCCAGGCCTTGCTGTCCCCACATAAAGCGGGGCACAGAGAGGTTAAAAACCCCTGAAGTCACTCAGCATTTTGCTGGCTCTGAACTCAGGCCTTGGGAATGCAAACCCTTTGTTCTCTCCACTGTGCCAAACAGGCTCTGCAAGAATCTTCCAAAGAGAAGCTGAACTAGCTGAGCCACTTTCAACTTCTGATTTCCTTCAGAATGTTACTAGGTCATAATCGATAGAAAAACCTACCCTGAAAATGATAAATTTTACGTTAAAGGCATCCTCAGGATAGTGCTGAGTAGGATTTTATAAGAGTCTTTTCTGATAACATTTGGAAACAAATTCATTACTTGTTCCCCTTTCTACACCTTATAAAACAATGACTGAACTCAGACGCCTTGACAGGCACGAACGAATTACGTGAAGGCAGAGTGTCAGCAATGTTTCCTGAAAACCCACCGCATTCCTGGCACTGGGCCAGAGGCGTGGGACCAGCTCAAAGGTGATGAGCAGGAGGAGGGCACTTGGGACACATCCTACTCTCTAAGACCTTCTAACATCTACAGATTGAGGGAACAGCGTCTCTACCCCAAAATAAACTAGCGCATACACCACAGCATGATCTACATATTCAAGGGAGTGAGTCCTGCAGGGAACACGGATGGGCCACATGATTGAGACTACGTGCCAGCAATCATGTCCTCTGTCGGGAAGCGCGGATCCAATCTACACTCAACAGGGAGCCCACTGAGCTCACTCACCACCTCGTTCTGCGGAGGAATGTTGAAAAAAACCAAAGGAACATTTGGTAAGTGGCCATGGCCTCACTCTGTCTTCATTTTATCTGATTCAGCAACACTGAAGTGTTCAGACACGTTTGTTTCACGTCTCTACGAGGGAGGACCCCCTAAGTTTTTCACGTGCTTTACAGCCAAAACACCCAATGTCATTGCGACGTTCCTCTTAAAACTTCCTCTTTGTTCCAAGTTCATGCTGAGATACTATATTGGAAACAGTGCTTCCTTCCACTCCTTTCATGTGTTCTTGTAGGGAATGTTCCTTTCCTTCGAAGGATAAGAGATCCTAAATGCTCACTTGGGATAGCAGCTGTAGCAGAGACTATTATGAGGATGGCTAATACAAAGAGTATCATTTAAGAAAATTAGTTCTCTATAGAGAAATCCAAACACTAACATGGGTAGGAGTGTGTGTTTTTATAAAGGTATATGTAGGACTCTATATGATGATTGATGTTGAAATTGCAAATAGAGAATGTCAGGACTGCATATTACCTTACAAGCCATTTAGTTCAATACCATCTTTTTTTTTGCTGTTGATTAAAAAAAAATGAGATCTTCACCCAAAGGATTAATGGACTCACTCAAGGAATGAAAAGCCTATTAACTGCAGGATCACAAACCTGAAAGCTGGGTCTTCTGATTTCCAGCCCAAGGCTCATGAGCCTGCCTTCCTTGAACATATGATGCCTGAGAAGGATCGGTGTATTTGACCGACTGACTCACAGAATCAACGTGCAACAGGACCAAAACAATGCAGTGTTTGCGAGGTCAAGTCAGGAGGTAAGATGATGGTGAGGTGTCAATTACTTCCCAAAATGGATTCATTGAAGATCCAGCACTGACGATAAGCATAAGGACTAAGTGCTGGGAGTTTAGGAATTCCTTTCTTCTCCAAAGAAAGTAACAGGTGCACAACCAGAAATTACATGTTAAAAATGTATACCCTGGCCGACAGGTCCCGTGGAAAATGGAGACAGGCAGATAGTCAGTTCTACGGTGACAATGACCAAAGCCCACAGTGAGTAAATTTAAAGGCTAAAGGTTAAGGTGAACACAGAACAGAGTCTGACAGTGGAAAGGCTCCTTAGTGTTAGAGTTTTCTAAAAGGATTAAAATAGCATGGACTGGTGCAGACTGCAGAAATTGCAACAAGCATTGCATGAACTTGGGTCTCAAGAACACGGCCTACCTGGGAGCTCCTTGAATGGTGAAGGCCTTGTCAGCGTGCTGGTCGCCCAGCTTCGTCATCACTTCGTACAATTTGTGGCAAAGCTAAAGGGATGGAGACCATTGGTCTGTTAGCTGTAAGTCATTCTGGTGCCGATTCAGGCTACTGCCCTAAGAGAGGAGGAAGCGTTTACTGAAAAACTGAGAACCTTAACGACGATAGGGATGGCCTCAGGATACCTTTAAATTCTGCAAATGGACAATCTAAAACTCATATCAAGGGGCACCTGGGTGGCTCAGTCGGTTGAGTGTCTGGCTTCAGCTCAGGTCATGATCTCGAGGTTCATGAGTTCAAGCCCGGCGTCAGGCTTTGCGCTGACAATGTGGAACCTGCTTGAGAGTCTCCCTCTTTCTCTGCCCCTCCCCTGCTCTTTCTCTCTCTCTTTCAAACTAAATACATAAAAATTAAAAAAAAAAAAAAACTTAT